TAAAAACTTTTGAAAAAGTGACTCAAGAATGCGGTCTGACTATGAATGTCAAAAAGACGTGCATTATGACATTGAAACAATTGAAAGAAGATTCGGCACGAAGAGTCATCAAGAATGAAGAAGTAGATATGCCCGACATCGATATTTTAATACGAAATCGAACAGTTGATACTGTCGAGTCCTTCGCATATCTTGGATGTTTCGTGTCAAGAGATCAGTCTCCTAAGAAGGAAACAGAAACAAGGATAGCAAAGGCATCAACAGCATTTAATGTGTTTCGAAATACAATTTGGTACCGAAAATCGATCTCAATCGAGGCAAAGTTACGAATCTTTCGTGCGTGTGTCATCCCAGTTCTATTATACGGAAGTGAAGTGTGGTTGTGAACTGTAGCACAGGAACGACGTCTGAACAAATTTTACATGGCCTGCCTACGGATAATTATCGGTGTAAATTTGGGGGACAGAATGGCCAACGAAAACATATTGGACTTGACTGGTCAACCGTGCCTAGAAAACATCATGCGAAGAAATCGTTTGCGATGGTTTGGCCATGTGAATCGGATGGAAAATGCGGATGATGTTGGACCTAGATTAGTAAAGAAAACAATGTTCTCTTATTTTCCTGACTTTAGACGACCACGAAATGATGGTGTACGAAGCGATGGGAGGATAAAATCATGGATGATATTGATAAATTTCACATTAGAAACTGGAGAAGAGATACATTGAATAAGGACCAATGGCGGACACTGATTAATAAAGATGTTCATGTGAAACCAACCCATTGGAACATCAAGGCTATTATTCATGAATACAAAAACCGAGCACAAAAAAGAAGAGCAAACGATGTAGCCACAGTCAATCGAGCAATGACAGCAACAGCTCGTGTCAAAGTAACAGAAATACTCGCTAAGAATCAGCACAATGAGTATGCTTGTCCAAAATGTCGAAAGACATATAAACCTCAAGGAATAACAAATCATGTGAAGTCAGGTGCCAAAGAATGGTGTAAAAAGAATGGAATCCTCAATTAATATATAATGGAACATCGAAAAACCGGAGCCTTAATGGTGTGAATTAAATGATGGATACAATCGAAACCAAGTCTGCCATAGCTTGGAAATAGTATTCTGATGATATGTTCTCAACATTAAGACCTCCGACGAACGAACTGGAAACTCATCGAATGAACGTATAAACAACCTTGCATTCCAGTCATTGGACGAGTACCAGTACAGCAAGTACAAGTAAAATACTTGATAATTAAAAAATGTACTTTGTACTTTACTTAAATACTTTTTACTTGAGTACATTTTACTCAGTAGCTGTACTATGTAGGATTATACTCAAGTACAGTAAATTTAAGTACATTAGAGTACTTAGAGCTATAACGAACCGTAGCTGTACATTTAACACATTGATATCGATATTGGGATGTGTGATACACACCTAACATTTACAACTTAGCGACATCTTTAAAAAAAATGTATATGAATTATGATTATCACTATATTTCTATATTGATTGTAATTATTAATATCAATTATTGATTGAATCGCATCATAATCACATGTAACAATAGTTAATATAGAGCAAGCGGGAGACTGATATCCTCAAAGCATCGATTGGTGTATGATAGATCACAAAGAGCTCTATTGATTTTTAATATCAAATCATACACCAACTGTTTATTAAATTTAAAACGATTTTACAATCAAGTACCAATTTTCATTTAAATTTCAATTAATTAATCAATGGCCAGTGAAAAATGGAGTAAATTTTTTGATTTCTCGTTTGCTGATAAAAATCGAGTAAATGGATGCTGCAAATTATGTCATAAGAACTAGAAAGATCGACGTGGTACTTATAGTAATTTTATCAAGCATTTAAAACGAATTCATCCAAATGAATATGAACGAATTGTCTCTTCTGATGCTGCATATTTAAGTGAAGAGGAAAATGTTTTTAGTAATGATCGAACAACAGCTGATTTAGGAAATATTAAGTACAAACAAAATCAATTTATTTTATCGATTACAAAAAACTTAATTATTAAATGTGGATTACCATTTAATTTCGTCGAACATGCTAGTTTTCGTGATTTTCTTAAAGATTGTCATTTAAAATTTGAACCAGTATCATCGAGAAAATTGAAACGTGCTGTTATTCCTTTGTTAAAGAACAATGTTCTTAAAACAATTCATGAAGCATTAAATAATATAAATCATTTAACATTAACAGTTGATGGCTGGTGTGACCGTCGATGTCGATCATTCTTAGGTGTCACGTGCCATTTTATTGATAGTAAAATGATACCACAAGCTTACTTGATTGATTTTTTACGATTTAGATCTCCACATAATGGTGAAAGTATTCTACGTTTAACTGAAGATGTTCTTAATCGATTTAATGTAAAAGAAAAAGTTTTCAAAATTATTACGGATAATGCATCATCAATGATTAATGCTTATAAATTTGGATTATTTACGGATGAAGAAGATGATGCTTTTGATTATCAAACGCATTCAATATCCAACACGAATTCATTACCTGATGATTATGATGGTAAGTTATATTTAATATTTTATCATATACAATTTGCAGAGAGTGAATTGCAATAAAGAAACTTGCTCAAGACGTTTCTTGTTAACTGATCAACTTGCCATTTGAAAAAACTCAGCATCACTAACATTAATTCAATATTAGTTTGAAAATATCTAGTGAAATTATAAAATAATATATAAATTTCGACACATTTTCATGTATCATCGATTTATATCTAAATACTATAATTGACGTAGTCATGATCAAACTAAAAGTCCTACTGGTACTTAAGTGATCCATACGGATCATTGTATTTTCTTCTTTTTGTGCAGTCTAATCAAATTATGTTCGTTTAGAAGTCTTCAATCTCTGCAATAATCTCATAAATCGTTGTTCGAATTTATATGCAAATCTTATTTACATATAAATTCTTTTTTTTTATTGTAAATGATATTCAATTGGATAATTTTCAAATGATGGGTGTACAATATGCTGATGATGTTGAAGATGATGAAGGTGTACCAGCGTTTCGACTATCTTGCTTTTTACATAGTCTTCGACTTTGTGTACGTGATGGTATGCAGAATGCATCGTACACATCCAAGGTATTGAACAAGTGCCGCATTCTTTCCAAATTTTCGCATAAGTCGAGTAAAATGGCAGATGCACTTGATCAATTAAATAAAAGCATCAGCAAAACAAATGTTACAAGATGGAATAGTGAGTAAATGCTGATAAAATCTATTTTATCAATTGGAAAGAACGATCTCGACTCAATTGTTGCATTAATGGAAGATTCAATTAAATTTTCAAATAATGATTTTATGATACTACAAGAAATAATTGATATTTTAGAACCATTCTATGATATATCCATCAAGTGTCAATCAGAAAAAATTGTTACAGCTAGTCTTGTAGTTCCAGCTGTTGTTCATTTAATGGTTCATTTACGTGACTTAAAAGAGCATGTTGTATTTGGTACTAAACTTGTTCAACAACTTCAATTATCCATCGAAAAACGTTTTGCTGGTATTTTTAATCGAATAAATCAATTGAATATTGGAGAAAATGATCCATTTAATGATCCTGTTTATTTTATTGCAACAGTTCTTGATCTATCCTTCAAGTTCTTTTGGCTTCGTGATTTAAAATTACCTGCTAATGCAGAAAATCGACTAAAACAAGATGTTATTCAATTAATACTTGACGAAATGAATAAAGATTTAAAATTTTCATCAACAAAATTATTTGATAAAAGTACTTATTCAACATCGAAGCCAAAAAAGAGAAAATTTTTTTCTTATGATGATGTTTATCGTGGTTATTCAAATGATCCAATGGTATTGAATCCTGTTACTGAATTAGAAGCATATTTAAACGATCCAATTAGATTCAACTTTTCTGAATACTGGTGTCGCTCTGAACTGAATCAATTGAAAAAACTAGTAGTACGTGTTGGTTCTGTTCAAGCTTCATTTGCTCCTGTGGAGCGTATTTTCTCATGTGCTGGTCTTATTTTGTCTTCACGACGCACCAGATTAACTGAACAATTATTTAAAGATTTAGTATTTTTGAAAGCTAATCAAGCATTATTGTGAATTGTTTGGGTGTGGGTGTGGGTGTGGGTGTGGGTGGGTGTGAATATGGGTGTGGGTGTGGGTGGTGTGGATGTGGGTGGTGTGAGTGGTGTGGATGTGGGTGGTGTGGATGTGGGTGGTGTAGGTGGTGTGGGTGGTGTGGGTGGTGTGGGTGGTGTGGATGTGGGTAGTGTGGATGTGGGTGCTGTGGGTGGTGTGGATGTGGGTGTGGGTGTGTGGGTGTTGGTATGGGTGTGGGTGTGGGTGTGTGGGTGTTGGTATGGGTGTGGGTGTGGGTGTGTGGGTATGAAGAGT